CATAACCATAATGCTTAATCTGCTCGATCTCTCCCAAGCTTTATGGAGTATCTTTTCTTCCTCACTGTCTTTATTAGTAACAACAGTAAGCTTCTCAATTTAAAATGCTAAATCAAGATTTACCACACCTAAATTTTAAACTTAACTTACTCATTCCATTATAAGAAGTTAGTCCTATTGAGAATCAGAACAAATGTAGCATGCGAATTAAAAGATGTAATAAAACAAACATAATAAGATAAAATATTTACAACAATAATGCTTTGCGTTAACAACACGTATGTATAACTTAAAAATATAAATACAATGTATAACTATAATACCCTTTGGATGACAACTATAAAATACTAATAATGATACTTACATGTATTTATTTATATACCTTCATTGATGATGCATTATTTAATTAAAAAATAAGTTACCTTTGGATATCTTATATCTATCTAATTAAAAAAATACATACAACCCCTTAATTTTTATTTAATCATTTGAAAATCAATTCCCTTTGGAGAATTATTTCTCATAATAAAATAAACTCAATATTCATGAATATCACAAAAAATCATAAGCATCATAATTCATGAAATATTGCAATTATGTTTACCACTAGAATTAATATTCATCAACCATTATGGTGAGGCCACTTTGGTAGCTACCAAACTTTACATAATATGAATATTAAATTAGCTAGTAACTAATTTATCATTAATTATGTCTACTACAAAATTAATATTCATCAATCATTATGATTGGGCCACTTTGGTAACTACCAACCATCACATAATATGAATATTAAATTAGACAGTGATTAATTCATCATTTAGTTACCCATTTAATATAATACACACATATTCATACTGATTAATCCAAAATAAACAGGTTCGATCTAAGAAACTTAATAGTCCAAAAATTTAATAAAAATATTATTTTACTTTATATACATAATAAAACATATTATTTTTATATTCAGACTTAAAGAACATAATTGAATCAATTTAAAATTGATTCTCCATCATATATATATGTTTGGGTTCTAAATAATAATTTATTTGCATGTCCAATAAAGTCAAATTTCTAGACTCACACATTATTCTAGAAATTCTAATTTCTAATTAAAGAAATCAATCTATAAAACTATTTAATCATGCAAATCACAAACTTAACTTACATAACCATTAACTTGACATATATGATTATTCTATAATTTCATGTCAAGTACTAAATGTGACTCTGTCATTAACTTATATTAGACCATGGACGAAAATCAATAATTAAACACATATATATAATTCAACTATCAGGCAATTCAACAAGGTTAAGAAATCAATTTATGGAAATCAAAATACAGGCTCAGAAATCGATGCATGTAAACCAAAATAAATTCACCGATCCATCATACTAATCCATCATGCACCCACACTGATCATGAATCAATACCTATATTTATGCATCTGTTTTACATATATGGAAACTATCATGTAAACTATGTATCATTATTCAACTTTCAGTAATTCATTTAAGTTCTGAAATCGAGGCACACAATTTTGATTAATTGGTTGATGCCAACAAATTGATCAAAACATATCATGCACAAATAGTTACATGAGAACACTACTGTATATGTATATATAGACGACAAATCTAATAAATTAAATTATTTAATTTTAATTTAAACTTATGCAATATTAATGAAAAATAATGAGTTCATAAGCCGTAAGCTCTGATACCACGTGTAAATTATAATTATTCGTGCAAACCATTAATCACAAATAAACATCAATCCTAAAATCTTAGAACTTCATTATTTTCACATAGTCTATAATGCATAAATACATAGTTAGATATAAATATATCGATCTGTAATTGCAAGTATCGTAGATATCAAGGCAAACGCCGAGATCATTTTTGCAGAACAAACAACGTGATAGACTACAAGTCAATGTGGGGAAACTGATTTCTCTCTCTTGACCTTTTGTACACATAAATATTATACGTGTTATTTCATTAGCGTACATAACTGATGGGAATATGCATTTTTATAAAGGCAGAGAGAGGACCAGTTTTCCTTTTGGTAACTTTAATTGCACTTTCCATCAAAGTAAAGAATAAATAGAAAAACACTTCTCCAATAATTAATTACCAAAAAGGTAATTTATATGTTGACTAAATAATATAATATTAATCTTATATCTATTTTATTTAACCACCAAAAAATAGAAGTAAATCACGTGTCCAAATCATGTGGGCCACAAATATAAGAAAATATCTTACAAATAAATCATTTTCACCCTCAAAATAAGGTATGCACATAATGCAAACTAAGTAATTGCACATAATGCAGACTAAGCAATGTTACGTGTAAACGTAACTCAATTCAAATATCATTTATGTTATTATTTGAAATTAAAGTATTTTAAAAACACTTTAACCATATTAATTTAAAGAATTTAAACCAAAATTAAAGTTACTTAGATTAACTTTAGACAACAAACAAAACACTTGATGTTTCCAAAAATAATGAAAAGAGTAACAACTTTTTTTTTTCTTCCAAATATTAAAAAAAAGCATGCGCTAAATTATTTAACATATCTTTGAAAAAAATTTGGCAAAATTTAATATTAATTGCCACACTCACCACCTTCACTATCAAAAAAAGGTATTTACATAATGCTGAAAAACTAATAGTCACACATAAATCTAACTCAATTCAACATGGTGATGTTATATATACTTGTATATATTCAGTACCTTGAGCTCAAAGCGTTCTTGTATATGTATATATATATATATTTACATATTACTTAAATATTTATATATTACCTAAGTGGTGATGTTCCCTTTTACAAATGATGATGTTACTTTTTAGATTCCTATGATATTACTTATAAATGGCGGTAAAATGTTACTTATAAATGGTAGTGTAATTGCCAAACGCGGACTTAGTGTCTGTTTTATGAAGAAATACGTGGCCAACCAAGGCCACTGGACAATGGACAGCAAAAAACTGCTGGAATAATTACATCAGAGGATTTGCGTCTATGATTTCTGGGCGTGAGGAAGTTGTTGTTTGGAGCGCGAGTCCGAATCCGAATTGTTAGTTGGAATATATGATTCGGAATTGGAGTCAAAAGGAGTGAAGGTGACAAAATTGATATAGTGGATATCTTCAAAACTAAATTTGACAAGTCTTATATATGATTATTAATTGTTGATGTTCTATTCAAGGAATGCCTTATACAAAAGCTAAAAATATATATATTGAAAAAATTAAAAAAAATTAAAAAAATTAAAAAAAAATATTGAATTCATACCTTCAATCCAAGAGGGTGCTCAATTTATTTGCATTTTTCCATTACGAGCCATGAGTAGTTTACCAAAAATGCATATATATGTGTGTGTGTGTGTGTGTGTATATATATATAGTTAAGTGCAAAACATCCCTTTATAATAATCAACAGGTCAGTGGCCTAACGGTACCAGACCCCTACTTTCCAAAGGAGATTAGGGGTTCGAGTCTCAATGGAGACGTGTGTGTGAGAACTAGGAAAAAAAAAAAAAAAAAAAAAATTCCTTCATAATATGTAAGATGTGCAATATATAATATAAGGATTACAAATCAATGTCCCAATATTTAAAACAAAATTAGAATGTGGGTATCTAGTTACCTTTTAGGCTTTTACCAAATTCAACCATTGTCCTTCTAATACATTCAAGAATATCTATATATAAATCTATAATTGCTATAAAAAAAAAAAAAAATTATAGACATACGCCACTAACTACACGTTAATCTCACTTATCAATTATAAATTTTTTTAAGTTAATGGTAAACCGACTTGGAAAAAAAAAAAAGTTAATGATAAAAATAGACATTAATAAAATAAACAATTTTTTAAATAAAAAAATTTATATATATATATATATATATATATATATATATATATGTGTGTGTGTGTGTGTGTGTGTGTGTGTGTGTTGCTTGAGTTTGTGTTCAGCCAAAAAGTAACTAGATCAAAATTTTAATTTTATAGAAATCTGAAGTTCATCTGATAACAATTTGCATCAAAGCAAATCCATTTATTTAATAATATTATTATTATATATATATGTGTGTGTGTATAATTAAGGGAGGCTCATTCGTTTACAATAAAAGATAGTGCATCTATCATTTGAAGAGGAGATAATATAGGCACAAAAAAAAATAATAATAAATAAAATAAAATAAAAAATAAATTAAATTAAGAAAAAAAAATAGAAATAGAGATAATATCAGCGGCAAAAAAAAATAAAAATAGAGATAATATCGGCGGCCACAACAAATATTTTAGAGAGAGAATATATTTTTAAAGAGACAGACTTTTTAAAGAGATAACTATGACAACAGATAGAGAGTTTTCCTTGGACAAGTCTTGAAACACATCCAAATATTTTTAGAGAGAATATATTTTTAGAAAAATAGACTTTGACAACATATAAAGAGTTTTCATTTTAGAGAGAATATATTTTTAGAAAGATAGACTTTGACAACATATAAAGAGTTTTCATTGGACAGGTCTTGAAACACATCCAAACAAAACCATTTAGTGTTCAAATATATACCGAATTAGTAGGGACATTCTTGTCAAACAAAAATGGCACTTTTGAAAAAAAAATTTAAAAAAATAGTATCACTAAACCGCCTTTTTTTCAACGAACCCATTCAAATGAGGGACAAATTGCTCAAAAGACTAATAACACGAGTTATATTCAATTTTTTTTTTTTTTTCTTCTCTTCTAATAAGGGTGTTTCTTGCATATTTTTTATTTAGTAAGGGAATTTTCCGTACCTAACCCTCTATATATAGCCATCATATCTAAGGAACCGTGTATAACGTGATTGAATTTCTTGCTCATTAGCAAACAAGAAATCATTTTCGATATATATAAGGCATAAAATTAAAATTGTACAGGAAAAGAAAGACATCCAAACATATATAATCATTGCCTTTGAATTGATGATAAGATACAAACAAATAATTAGCCTATTATTCATGCTGGATGACACCTAATATGATAATTGTTATGCAAATTTACATTGGGACGTTCCACATTTAAGTTTTATGGAACGAGAATTATTACTTTCAAAATGGATACAGAACTGATGCTAATTGCTAATAATGAAATAAAGACAACCTCGTTGTTTGTGGATACAAGTAATAAAAATTGGAGAAAACATTCCTGAAGTTCTGGAAACCCAGCCGACTTTTCAAGAAACTTTGACTCTTTCAGGAGACCACTTTTTGTCACTGCATTTTTAAAATATTACATATTTGAAAGTGATCATGATTGTCAGGATCCAACTCTTAAAAACGTTTGTACTACTGGCCCAATTCTTGCAATCCTCATCATGGTCAAGAGCGTCACATTCCAATTTTCCAAATAATTAAGAAGGCATTTTGTAGGGCTAAAATTATTTTTGCAATATGATTTCCAGCACGATACATACCAGTCCACCGACAGCAAATACCATGGTGCCCCTAAAACCTGGAAGAACAAAATTGAATCATCAGTTCCAACACAATTACGTAACTCTCGAGAGCGGAGAAAAAATAGGGAGAAAAGGAATATTAAAGTGATAAAAATGAGCACAAATGGCATAACACTGGTATAAGTTTTAAACTAAATTGGTTAAAAGCATAAAGTGACAAATAAATAACATAAATTGATTTAATTTAAAGTTACATGGTAAGCAAACATGTACAATATCAGATTATATGCATTCCTTGCTAAAAACTGGTTTTGTGACGACACCAGTTGCTTTAATAAGTAGTGACCTTAATAGGAAAATCAAATATAGTGCGGGCACAAACTGGAGTAGAACAATCAGTGAAAGGGCATTGTTATTGTGATCAGCTCATAAGCTACTCGTTGCTAGCATAATGAACCAGATAACAATCTGCAGAAAATATATTCAGCTAACAATTCTTTTCTCCTAGATAACTTTATAACATACTTGAATAAAGGTAAAGAAAATTGTAGAAGTAAAAATAGGCTTATAGGAGCAGAAATAAGTGTGATTGTCATGATGGAGTCTAGAATATATAGAAAACACGAACTTACTAGGATTACTTTAATAATGATGAAATAGAGAAATTTAAATTTCCCCTTATTATTTATTTTTGTTTCTAATGCCGGGTGAGCAACACAAGATCACAGTAATTACTTTCTCATTTCAGGAATTTAAAATACTATAAGAAAAGTAAAAGTACCTGACTTCAAATTCCTCATCAGACGATTCCTCATCGGATGATTCCTCATCAGACGATTCTTCAACTTCAATCCTTTCTTTCGGGACGATCTCATATCGTGGAATTTTCAATCGATCATACCTGACTTCTGTTTCAAAACCTCTATCGCCTATGGGAAAACTCTGTCCCACGGTCAGATGCGAAGCTATATACGCAACTCTATTAGCTACCGTGTTTCCTTGAGAATATTGAAACAATATGTCATATTTATCAAATTCTAACAAACCAAAAATTTTGCTGCATCACAATAGTTTTATATCAATATAATTGGAAACTTGAATATAAATTTTAAGAATAAACTCGAACTTTATACAAAAAACTTACTGATAAAGTCCAAGACATTCAATTGGTCTATCCTTCTCACGATTTAGCACCTTGACAATTTTTTTATGGTTAATCTCCAATAATATATACTTTGCTTCCGATCTCCTTTTAAGAATTTCATCTATCCCATGAAGCACTCCAAGTAAGAATACTTCATCTCTAGATGTTGCATCAGGAAATGGCTTATAGAAAATTTCCAAAATCCTTCCCCTACAATCTCTTAATACTTCTCCACAAAAAGCTTCCTTGGTCCCACCAAGATTTTTCTTAAAAAACACAGAAACATTTAACTTGTATTGTCCATTGCATGGTGCTCTCCAAGAACAGAGTACTGAGTATTTTACTTGTGTCATTGGAGAACTCTCCAAAACATAAATTTGCTGATTAAACAGGTAATTATAAATCCTTTTTTTGTACTTTTTAGGAATCCAGAGAATTAACAACATGAAGTCATTTATTGAGATATATCTCGTCTTGGAAACCCCAGCCACATGCCAATCAGTGTTGCCCTTTTTGAACAACCCATAATTTTCTAATATAATGTTGTGCTTCTGTTCGAAAAAAAGTTGTTGGGGTCCACAAAAAACCTGTTGTTTAATGATCAAACAATATATTTGTTAAAAAAATAATCTGAATTAGATAAAAAAAATAAAAAAAAATTAAAGTTACGTATATATTGAACTTACGACTAAATTGGGGATGCAATTGTGGATGCTTTTAAAATTTCCTTCGTTGATATAAGATACAGAACTTGCAATAAAATTGTCAATGTTTGGAACATTTCCTTCCTTGATGTAAATGGCACGCACCATACGATTAAGGATTCCTAAGGAGGCAAAATATAAAAACAGCATTAAAGGCAAAAATATAGTAACAAATAACAACGAAAAGATAAACATTTTAATCACATGAAGCCAAAATCTTTCTTGATTGTTTTTAAGAATCAGGTACAAAAATAGAAATGACAATCCTGGAAGTAAATTCACAAATTAGAGTACGTACGATGCTTTGGGAAATACTCCCGCTTGAAATTGAAGTTTGAAAGATACGGTTTTCACTATTAACCCAAATGAAACGATTTTATATGTTTAGCCCTTTAATTCATTTATTTATTTATCTATTTTATGTTTCCTGATAACCCAATTATTTTTATTTACATTTCAATTTTAATTCTATATTTTTCTCAAGCACTATTTCTCAAACAGCTGCATTATTAGCAACCGGTGGTCTGAACCAAAAAAAAAAGTTAAGACTACATTACTTCAACTGATGTTGAACAATGTAGACTTGTTAAATTTCCCCCCTCATCTTCAAAGGGTTCACATCAAATCTACCATGCCAGAAATAATTAAGAAAATAAATAGGAGTGAGGTAAATAAAAAAATTGCTAAGCATATTATTTCGAATGATATTCAATTCAATGTGGTTTAGACTCGATCTTTTATTGATTTCGTGAAGAGTGTATCTGTATTTGAGTCCTAGAACTTACGTTGTATGACTCAATCATACAAATTACCAACTTACTCAACTTTATGCACGAAGCTAATACCAGATTCTACGATGGAAGTTGAGGCATACGGTGTAAATTTGCATAAAATGGGATTTATTTTATTAATTGTAACATTTTCTTTTATTGTCTTTACAAGTATATGATATAGAAGAAAATAACTAAGATGTGTATAGCTTAATTTTTTGTCCCGAATTTTCAGCTCATACGTGTTATACATGTATGTATCCGTATTCGTATTTTTCTTTTCCATTTATTTGGCCGAATTTTGCAATGTATCAAAAAAAAATCAAATTATACTCATACGTTCCTGAATCCTTCTTCTCCTCTTTTTCCTTAGCGTAATTTACTAACTATGATAATAATAAAATTCCCTAGAAGAGGGAAGTTATAGCTAAACACAATGCAAAAATTCAGAATGAATTAGATATTCGAAACATTTCATGCTGTGAACAATATGCTCTCATTACGGGCTTTTGTCTTCATTTTTTAAAACTAGCAATGACAAGCATGGAATTGATGTTCTGGAACGATAGAAATAAAAGACTGCAATTTGACCTTTGCAACTGGGCATTAGTACTCCAAGTCCAAGGCATGGATTAGAAGTAATGAAACAAAATTCCGTTGATAGACGATGTAATGTTACTTATAAAGACTGAGCATCAGCATTTCAAGATATCTTCAGCAATAGAGAGTTGCATTATATTCTTTGTGCGATAGAGAGGTCAAGGATAAGCGTCGACCTGTCTTTAGCGTGATCTTATGTTTGTGACAAGTCGGTATGAAGAGGAGAAGCTTTTTGGAGGTAGTAAGACTACCGCGCATTCTCACTTTCGGGCTATTGTCGTCAAACGGAGGGCACATATTCAAAGTGGATGTGGGAGTGCCGAGAGAAGGAAAGAGACTTAATAACTGTGCCTTTTTGGTTTTTTCTACAAAGAAATCGCAAGCCTCGAGAAGACAGAAGAGTGGGCTATAAAGTCTTGAATGGTGATGACTGGGGTGTGTGACTTCATTGCCGGGGACCCAATACTTCTATTCAAGCTACATTCTCGCAATGAGGCAAATAAGGTTTTAAAAAAGGGAAAACCATAATGGGGAGATGCTTTTTTAAATACAGAGTGGGATTCTCTGGTATTATGAGGAAGAGCAAGGAATGGCGAATTCTATTGTATGGTGTGCAGCTCCATCTATGGTGCCATCCACAATTCGTTGCAATTGGGGATCTGTGTGGTGATTTTAAGGGCGTAAAAGCAAATGAAATGGTAAACATGAAAAGAATAAAGTTTTAGGCCTGGACAGAGACGAGATACCCGCTTTTGTGATGGCGGGGGACGGGAAGGTGTTTTATCAGGTGGCTGTGTTGGAAGAACCATGTCAAAATTGACTCTGACAGTAGCATCGCTCAGAGATCAACATGAGAAGTTGTTAACTCAAGAGAAGGATTGGTGGTGAGAGAAGGACGAAGCCAAGTGTGCATCGGAAGTATGCCGGAAAGTGAAATATGAGAAGTAGAGGTAAAAGGGACAAGAGAGGTTGGGGACAAGGGTCTTTGCAAGCGCCTGAAGCACGTAAAAAGAAGAGGCGAACAAAAGGAGAGGGTCTTCTTAACAACCAAAAAGGGGTGGGAGGCAGCTCGGTTGCAACATGGCATATAGGGGATGGCAATGGGAGAGAAGTCACACGACATGTGCCGCAAACCTATGGGCCTGCTATTAATGATCCAATCATAAATGCAAGCATTCGGTCTAGGTTTTAAAATTTTGAAAACATAGACCACCACCTCAAACAAGAATGAACCTGCTATTACTGATCCAACCCGAAATAAAAATACTAGGTAGGAGTGACAATAACTGATACGACATGAAATAAGCGTGTTTACATTTGACTAATCGTGCTTGGATTGCAATAGTGTCATCCCATACCATAGTTGTTAAGGGCACACCTAGGCTCTAAAAAAGCCCCAGGCTTGTCGAGGCTCATCTAGAGAGCCTTGACCTAGTAAAGGCCAAGCCCCTTCAGTCAGGCTCACTGGCATGCACTTTTTAGTATGTCCCAGGCCAAAAAAAAAAGTGTCTTGTAATTTTTGGGTAAATTCCACTTACCTCTCTTGATTCCCCCTGCCATTGGGACACCTGACAGAGATGAACAGAATATTTTAAGGTAAGTGAAATTTGTTCTCTATTTTTCAATAATTTATTCATATCATTGTTCTTTTATCAAATGACTACTAAATTAGAATGTCAGTATAGGCAATTTCACCCCACTAGGGGCGATTTCAAGGCGATCGTGATTTTGTTTTTCAGTTTCAGTTTGCGATGAAATCTTCTTTAGAAATTGCAAGGATTCCAAGAATTTCACTGAGAAGGGATGTGAAGTCAGCAGTTCCACATCGAGGGCCGTCTTTGTACATCGACGAGGAGCCCGTCGGAGGGAGGAAATCAATTCTCTCACCTTGCTTGGTCGGTCATTTTGACAAGGAAGTTGGGGGATGTGATCGGGTGGAGGAAGGAGCGGCGTGAGCATGGAATACGTCCTGTGGAGTGGGGGTTACTCCCTTATCCGATTCGGTGCTCCTATTCAGGTTTCCTTCTCAGGCAGAAGCTCAACGTGTGTTGAAGGAAGGCCGGCATCAATGGGGATCTGCAACCTTGCGGATCAATGTGTGGTCTTTTAGGGTTGGTTGTTGCGGCGTCCTTAGAGACAAAGGTCTCAAACAGATCCGGATGTTTGGACTGCCCCTTCACCTATGGTGTCATGCTTTATTTGTTGAAGTAAGGGAGTTGTGCGGCGGATTTATGGGAGTTGTTGCTGATGAAACAAGGGACGCCGAAAGCGTTCGGATTACAGTGAGAATAGGATCGACATATCCACAATTCGTGTTTATTAATGATGAGACCTTCTGTTACAAGGTGGCGATCTGGGAAGAAGTCGCGCGGAGTTGGTTCCCTAGACAAAGAGTCTTGAAGGCAGTGATGGGTCTCATCTTATGACTGAGGAAGGATGGAATTCGCTTCTTAACAAAGGGAAGGAAGGGGTGCAACAGATCCAACAATGGCTGAAAGATAGAGAACTTCAAAGGGCGGTGAAATTTGTGCGAGGAATCAAGTAGCCGAGACGCGCCGGTTACGCGCGTTGCAGCTGACAAGAATAAAATTACACGTGGCGCTCGTAGAGGCTCACTTCCAGATTCATCCCTATCCTTATCTACAAGGGTTGGTGAAGAGCTTGGGCTGGGCCGCACAAATTGGCCTAAGGTTGATTTGGGTCGGAGGGGTTCAGGGTAAGCTAAAGTGTTAAGTTTTGGGTCTGGGAGGAATGGGCTCAAGTTCAAGCCTGACTTTGGGCCTAAGACAGCCCACACTAAAAGACGGGTATTTAGAGGACCCAACTCCCTTTCTGTTTCCTTTCTTAACGAACCAGATCCATCTAAAAGACAAGCCCAGGTTCAAGCTCAAATCCAAAACCAAACTCTCTCCTCTTCTTCATTTCAGCGTCGGACTGAGAAAGAAAAGTGGAGACTGCCGGTTGCTTCAGCTAGTCGCCAAGGCACTCGATGGACTCGTACTGAAAAACATAAATGGGTAGCATGCTCTCCTTCTCCTTCTCCTTCTCAGGTTTGACCTCTGTTTCTCATTCTAAGAGCTCATTTTCTACCCCTTCTTGTGAGGTGATGGGAAATGGTGGCGATGGTGTGGAGGATCGTTTGGATCATAAGAGGGGTTTTTCTGAGGCCATTGTTCCACGGGCTGAAGAGTCATTGTCTTCAATGATCACGTCCGGAAGTGTTGGTTGTTCCAACAAGGTCACAGTATGTGTAGGACGGGACCTTCATTTCAAGCTGACAGATGATTAGCCATGACTTTACTTAACGAACTTAAGCTCTTTGTTGCTCTAAAAGGCTTAAATGGTCTACCCTCTGTGACTGGGACGAATTACACCCATGATTTGATGACAAATTTTACGGATGACCATGGAACATAGCTGAATCTGCAATTAAACTTGTATCAGAACAATGTTGAAAGCAAAGGGGAGGAGTTTGAAGATCAGTTTTCTTCTCAACAGATCTGTCCTCTTGCCTGGGATATTGATCAATCTGACGTGGACATTATGGAACCCTTAGCAACTGTGCACCCTGATTGTCTAGAGACGACAAACGATTTGGGTATGGACTGGGTGTTTGATAATATTGGCAAGGTCAGTGAAGCTTTGGGTGTCTCCTCAGAAGGTGATGATGACCGAACACAATCCATTCTTCAAGCTATTGTGGCAGGAAATAACAATACAGGGACCTTTAAAAGCACAAAAGTTGATAAAAA